AGGGCCGGCTGCCCGCTGTTAAGTCGCTTCCGTAAAACCCTACAAGCGTAGCTGAGGGAAAAGCCACCTCGGCCTTGTGCCCCCCAAGTCTTGTGAAGCGACGTTTTTCCACTGGGCTGGCTTTGGGGGTGCAGCGGCTGCACCTTAGAGAGACATGGCTGCCGGGGCAGGAGGGAGTTGGAGAAAGGCTGTGAGGGCGCTGAGGCGGCCGTGGGGTCACAACGATGGTGTGACTGGGGGAGAGGCCTTGGCCGCAGCCCTGGTGTGAGGGGTGCTGAGCTGTTGGTGTGGCGGGGGCGATGGCTATGCGTGGCCGAAGGCTGGGGTCTGCGCACAGGCTTCCCCAAACCACCCGGGAGCTAAAAAACAGGGGAGCTTCCACAGCAGAGAGCTGGCAGCCACGGCCAAAGTGTCCGTCTCCAGTTTCTGACAGTGCTCAGCAGCTGCAAGTGCTGCCCAAATGCTTCGGTGAGGCAGGAGGGAAACGGCTCCGGCAACAACTCTAATTAATAATGTGCTCTGCTGCAGAAAATCATTGGGTTTTTTTCTGTTCTTGGTGGTAAAAACTGGTTACAGCTGCAGGGTGTTTCTTATAAAGGAGCCAGTGGTGTTAGCAAGAGTTTTAGTGCCCTGAGTTTGCCCAGCTTAAAACTGCCAGTACGAGAGCATTAGCTGGTTTTAGTTGCATTTACGTACTTGGTTGAATTGGTGCTTAAATAATATACATACTTATGTGTCCAACTGTTTTGCTAGCCTCTCAGTAGTGGAGCTTGATTTAAGTGATTATAACGTACAACTTATGTACAACATACTTAATTGAGTTTAATATGAAGTGACATAAGTGAACATGAAGCCCTGCATTTCACGGTCTCACTGGCACCTGGCACTGATCTGACTCCTCCTTCCTCAAACAATAAGTTTTCGACTTTTCCATTGGTGACAAACATTCATTTCTCAGTCAGCTCTGCAAATTACTTTTAGCTGCTACGGTAGACCTTTTTTTTTTTTTAAGGAAATAGTGGTGAAGCTGCAGTACAAGAGTTTAAATGTCTGGTGACAAAATAGAGGTGCAGCAGGACCTCTAGTGCCAGCATACTCCATGTTAAGTTCAAAGGCAAGCTGAATCCAAACCCGTCATCCCCATCAAACCAGAACCTGCAGGCTTTTCCTGGCATTTCCCAGAACAGATTCGTCACCCACTAAGCTCTCTTAATTTTCCAGCAACTCTTGGGAATGCCAGAAAGAGAGAACCAGAGAGCCCTTAAGTATATAATTAGCAGCAAGAAGTCATTGAACAAACTGGTTTTGAGTGTCAATAAGACGACTTTATTTCAGGTAATTTCTTAAGTAATTTAAGACATCCTGTGTTGTCCAGTGTACCCCCTAATTCAGTGATCTATTTCATTTGCTGGTATGTTCATGTAGATTTACCTCGGAAGTGTTTGCAATAGGCTAAAACCAGTCCTGTAGCTAAGGAGAGAGAGACCAAAACCCTTTGCACTGTTTTCATCACTTAGCCACTATCAGCAAACACAAAGACAATGAAATAGATTTTCTGTTGGTTTAGGTTACTGCTCAGTGGAAAATTTTCATCAGTTTTGGTACATCTTTCTCCTGTAGTGGTGGTTTCCTCTGGCTTCCAGGCTGCAGGAATTTCTTTATTGTGGGGATATTGCTTATTCTTGCTTTAAAACTCTACAAAACAAAACCAAAAACAGCACTGTGCTTAAGAACCATGGTAACTGTCAGAATTTTAGATGTTATCCATGCTCTAAAAGTAACAGTATGGGTTGATCCTGCAGAAGAATCTATATACTTCATCCTATTATGCTTTTCTGGCTATAGTGACAGAAGGTGGCAATAACCCTCAGTATTTGAGGCTGACTAAATATACTTAGAATGTTAGATTTTGATTTTGTCTTTCACTTCTTTCCTCACCCTCCCACTCTCCCATATTTCTCAGCCAGTTTAAATCAGTGGTCTTGCATTGACTCACTGTCCATTGAAACTGTCCATTCAATTACCTGCAAAAGAGGAAATTTGGAGAGTATATCAGGCTTGCACTCTTCTGCCATTAAAAGGGTTTCAAGTAATTGCACATCTGCCCTGCTAAACTGGTTGCCAACAAGAAAGTCTTGTCCGTGGTCTTTCAAAACCTAAAAACAGAGAACCAGAAGCTGATGTGATTTTTTTTTTTTTCTCTCCCTATGTGACTTAATATGATATCTTCAAAGCAAGGTCACACACTGCATGGAATTATCCTTGAAAGAAGGAAATGCAGTAAGAACATCTGTAGTGCAAACAAATGATCTGAACACACCATCATCCTAAGCATAATTTATTGGTCCTTTCTCTTCTGCATTTCCTTTTGGCAGCTCAGTTGTACCTCTGTTGCCTTCACTCCTCTAGCTCATGTAATCAGCGCTGCTGTGTTGAAGGCTAAGCTTTATGGGATACAACCATCCCTGCAAATGTCTATACAGAATTTACAAGAGGGTTAAGCTCAGCCCAGGGCATAGTATCTTGGACTCTTTCAAATCATGGGCAGCTCACTTCTCACCTGTTTCCTCTTCAGTTTTTTGGAATGTTGTGTTGGGAGCTCTGCACAGGTAACCTCTGCCTCATGGTCTTGACACCCAGCTAATACATCCTCCCTTTTGTTACAGGAGGAGCTGTAATGCTTTACATAGCACGGATGGTTGAGGGCGCTCTGCGCTTCAGGATGAAACTTTATGTGAAAGCTGATGCCATAGTGTCTTTTGTCTGAAACAACATACAGACTGAAACATGGACATTTGGGGAGCTCCCTGTGTCCTGGGTTTTTGCAGCTCTGCAGATTTGTAGTGCCTTCTGTCCCCTCTGTAAGTGTCCTGTCTCCATCCTTGTCCCAGCCCCAGGAAAACTGTAGCATTTATATTTAACTGGTAATTTTTCTTCTCTCTTTTCCTCAATAAAAATTGTATAGGTCCAGAATGGAGTTTCAGGAAAACAGTATTAAGCTACTACATCTTTGTCACGTACCTTCTCGTAGACTGGGAAGTATCTGTTTGTGGCCTTGTCCACAATAGTAGCAAAATGTTGCTCCTTTTTATCCGCTGGTTGGAAAGTATGGGTCATGAGTAACTCATTCAGATCTATTATTGCTTCCACGTACATATCAATTCTGAAAGGAATAGATCCAGTTGGTCAAGTCATACACAGTAAGTCTGGGTAGCACGACAGCTACTGGCATAGCTTGGAGCAGTTCCCCCCCAGAGTACAGTGGCTTTGGGCAGGGGGAAGGGGAGGAGGAAAGTGCCTAAACAAAAATTGAAAGACTATACCCCTTCCGTTTTTCACTAGGAGTGACATTTCTCTGTATTAAGTTTTTTTGAACCTGAGTACAAAATTGGCATGTGTGTCATCCAAACTTATGTTAAAAATCCAGTCAGACATGGTAAATTAAACAGTAGGTCTATACAATTTCTAACAAATATCTTGAAGTGTGTTTACCTGTGCTAATTAACTTGAAACATTTAAAAACACTTCAGGTCAAACCATATGCCCTAAGAGCCCTGTCTTTTAATAACCGGTTATTACTTCTAATTCCTGGTTATTTGAGAAGTTCTTTCTTTCCATCAATGACATTTCCCTGAATTTGTTGTGGTGACAATGGCTCCTGCTGACAACTGCAGGAGAAGATGAAAAGCAGCATCAGTAAGACCGTCTGCCCTCTGCGCTCCTGACTTGCTTTCTTCTGATTATTGACCTTTGATCTTCATGAACTCCCTTGCACCATCCTGCCTATCTAATCTGGTGGGTTGTTACTGTTGTAGACATCACCCACAGGCACAGTCAACACGTGCCACGTGAAAAGCTGCTGTGTCACCCTGAATTGAACTGTGAGCTGGGATGTTCTTGTGTTACATGGAGAGGTAGTATGAACTGTAGTCTAACAAACAAAGGAGGTACTGTTACATTACAGGGCTCTCTCCTTCAGGTCCTTCCCGTAGAGGTTGTACTTTGTTGATATGTAGTTGCCAATGGCTCTGCTCTGCACCATCTTCATCCCATCAATCTCCACCATTGGCACTTGCTGAAACAGCAGGGATCCATCTAGGGAAAAGGGGACAAGACAAGGAGACATTCAGTCTCTGCATGAGAACCATTAGTGGGTGTTTGGCAAAGTAACCATCCGGGATATTTTTGATTCCTGACAGACTTCCTCATTCTCATTACTTGGTGTGGAGAAAAGCTTATCATGAAGCCAAGAACCATTTCTTAGTGACATGTTAATAATGTAATACTATAGCAGTCAGCTTCTTGAAGTTTCTTCAAACCTGAGGAAGTACCCAAATGCAGAACTTTCAGCAGTCATGCGCTGAAAAAAACAAGTCATGCACTGTGTGGCCCTCACTCAGCTGATTTCATGGAGGTTAATACAGATGAGAAGGACTGTAGGATCTGACCCATAATGAGCCAGTTTCTGACATGCTTTGGTGAGTATGATGGAAGTCTGGACTATTTAAGGGCTTGTCAACATATAATGTGAACATAAGTGCATATAATATTATCTTTGTGATTACTATATTGACTTCATACAATGACATACATCTGTATGGGTGTGAAGCAGGGAATAATGGGTAGGTTTCATGAGATTCCTGCAAGAGCCAAATATCACTTGGTAAATCCCTTACTAGTCTGCAGAAGCCTTATTCCAGCAAGGAAGAAGTCAGAATACCTCCAGGAACTGATCAGAGAAGCGAGTCAGCGTATTTGCTTTATGGAATCATATTTCTTGACTCAAATAACTGATCAGCTCTGTCTGTCTTTGTATCTACTGTAAGGCAAGCATGCAGAGAAACTGCTTGCTATTAAGGGCACATTTTAATTTATGCTTGTGTCTCAAAATACTTTTTGAAAGCTGGCAGGTGGCAGGGAGATCAAGTAATTGTTCCTAAAGGAGAGCAGGACTAGAAATGCCAACCCTAGCTCAGACTTCTTTGAAAAGCCAAGTGAACTGGAAGAGCACAGTCATTTAATTTGGTTTGGAGGGAATGTGAATATCATGTCCACAAAGATGGAAGCTAAAGATAGCAAGGTGAGTAGTTGCCTTGGGAAACAGGAGTGCATCAGAGGTACAAGTTAAACTCAGAAATCTGGAACTCTGGTTTCATATGAATATAAAACAACAACTTTGTAGGCAACCTAAAATGCTAATGAATTTCAAGATGTTTCTGCACTTAAAACCTGTATTGTTGCAGGACAGGAGACAATGGGCACAAACTGAAACACAGGAGACAATCATCTGAACTTAAGGAAAGGCTTTTTTACTGTGAGAGTGACTGTACACTGGCACAGGTTGCCCAGAGAGGCTGTGGAGTCTCCATCCTTGGAGATACTCAAAACTCAACTGGACACCATCCTGGGCAACTGGGTCTAGGTGGCCTTGCTTGAGGAGGGGGGTTAGAGCAGAAGATCTTGAGAGGTCCCTTCTGACCTCAGCCACTCTGTGATTCAGTGCAGATTGAAGCAACTGAGTGGATGGTACCATCTAACACACTGCAGTATGCATCTGTGATACCTCATGTACAATTCAGTCTAGATTTTCTTTTTAAGAGACATAAGACTTCTTGGGTGTTCTAAGACAAATTAGTGTTCTTGTTCTTATTCTTACTATCATCATCATCATCATCATCATCCAATTATTAAAAAAATGAAGGAAAACTTACCCTTCTGTAGCTTTGTCAGATCATCCTTTGTTTCCAGAAAACATTCTTCAAACTGCAGGAAGAAGAAAAGTTGTGTTGTCATTGCATGTTTTAGCTTCTGCTTTGCATGGGACAGTAAAGGCAGAAAGAGCTGTGTTTTGGGGAATTTTATTTTTTAAAAAATAAACCAGATTTGGAAGTGATATCTTTAAAAACTTATTTTGCCTCTGTCACATCCTCTCCTCTTCCCTCTCACATGTGATTCATATTTTTGCACAAGTAAGATTTTGGCCAAAACTGAGGTGACAGAAAGCTCAAAACCCCGCCTGCTGAGCCAATGATGACCATGTCGCTTCTGTTGTCAGTGCTGGCAAGAGATGGTGCAGGCAGAGGAGAGGACGGGTAAATTTACACTGCAGCATCAGAACTGTGTTATGGGTCCTTCGCCACAAGCTGGCAAAAGGAAAGACGAAGACGAGATCATGTGCCACGTGCAGCTTTCTGGCACATTGCCCATCACCATGACAGAAACTCACAGCTCTTAAAACACACAGATCCCCACACTGCCTCTCCAGTTTAATATCAGAAGCCGTTAAGAGGTAAAAACAATTACTCTGTGGTTTATAATATACAGTACTTTCAGGGGTAAGCTACATTGTAGTAGGCATAATAATTTTTTGCTATTTTGGACATTGGGATTTAACCGAAGGTCTTCTGAATTGAAAGTGCTCAGCCCCTGTGATGAGAAGATAAGAAGCCAGGTTCTGCTGCTGTGGGTTTAAATTTTTTCTTTCACTAGCTATAGGGGAAAGGCATTTATGGTGCTACCAGAAGGGCTGGCACATGATGCTTGGAAGTGAAATGTTAACTTGCCCTGCTTAGGGTAAGCTAGTGGTCATTGTTGGCTTGGTCAGCAATGTACTGATTGCAGAACTTGAAACTGCTGGTCAGTCACATTTTTTTTAAGGAACAGTAAAAATACATAATTGTCATATGCTCTTAGTATAACAAACAGAGACAAACCTCAACCCCGGCTGCTGCTAGTAGCCACCGTATTGATTCCATTCGGCCTCGTCCATTAAAGTAGTGCAGCTTGGGTTTGCCAGACATGTTTCTATGTGCCTGATTTCCTGCTATCTGGAATAAAGAAGTAAGATTTGCAAAATAAAGATTCAGAATGCTGGGTTTGAGTCTCTAACTGGTTCTCAAGCATTGTTCAAAGTTCTCTTGTTTGTAACAAATGATTTATGATCCAAGACTCATCAAATTAGTAGAGGAGGTAAAAGACTGTATTGAGAGACTGCTTTGTATCATTTTGCCTTACGATGTGTTCTACATGTGCACTTTAGTTAAGCAGAGCTCTGTACTGAAAGCGATTGGCCCATGTCAGAGAACAAGCAAATCAAAACCCATTTGCATCCCAAAGTGTTCCGCTCTGACCAAAAAGCAGGGTGCGTGAGATAACGCTGCTCTGTTTGTTTTGGCAATATCTCAGGACACGGTTTGCTGTTTAATCAGATACACAACATAAAGTCAGCAGTTGCTGTGCTTTCTCCAGGAGCCATTATGCTCCATTATAAAGTGACAGGAAGGATTTTTTTCCACCATTGTAAGCATTCAGACTCATTCACAACACTCCCCGCTCTTCTCATTTCTTCACTCAAGCACCTGAAGACGTGGAATTTAATTTTGTCTCTGGTAAAATTAAATTTGTCTTTATCACAGACAGAGCTGAAGTGCAATACCTGCTCTGTTCAATTCCCACTCTTTGCTGGAATTCAAAGCAACAACAGTTTCTAGGCAGACCGTCATCCTCCCCAGCAGCAAACACATAGACAGTGCCTAGTTTATACTAACTTCACAGTTAATAACATCGTGTCAACAGTAAAACTACAGCATTAAAGGCAGCAAAAAGCAAATGGCTACAAAAAACACATATTCCCCTTGTTGTAAGGAACTTTTGAGATCTAATTTTTTTTTTCTTAAATCTGTTCACCTAGAAAGTAGTTGATTAATAATTTAACATTTAATGCATATAACCGTGTTAGTAAGGAAAGTACACACAAGTATTTAATCTGTAAAACCCATTCACTGACTTATTTTCAAGTACACTAATTAATTATGCATGTCCAAAATCCAGACAGCTTACCTTGTACACAGTGTAACTCACGCTAAACTCTCAGTAGCTTTGCTTCGAGATTATATACATCTGTAGCCCCTCCTACAAAGAGAATTGCAAACAGTTCTCTGCTGATGGGAAACTCCTATTTCTCAAATGAACAAAACCCACTTAGGTCGGTTTAGTCACTCCTCACCTACAGAAAATAAATTCCTGACTAATGCTGACTGTGTACAAATGTAAGATTCACAAGAGGTCATGATCACTGGGAACATCTGTGCCAGCAGAAAATTGTATGCTTCCTATTTTGGCAACCTGCTGATTAAAAATAATTGGAATGGCTGAAAAGCTCCTAAGATTTAAAAAAATACTGTGATAGCAATCAAAATTTTATTGTACTATTTTATGTTTTTTTACTTTTAACAGATTGCTACTTTACATAAGTCACATCAGCTTGAATCCTTCATAAGCTTCCTTTCCTTCCTTACTGATGGGGGATACTCCTTCAGGACATTTTTCTGCTGAATTTCATTCCTTGACGTAGAAGGGTTTTTTCTTTTTCTATGAAAAATGTTTCCCTGAATTTGACCTGGAGAAAATGTATGGCAAAGAGAACTGTAAGAAACAGTAAATGAAGAGTGGCATCAGAAGACAAACTGCCCTCTGTACTCCTGACTGCTTTCTTCTGATAACTCTGTTGACTTCAAAGAGTCAATATAGCATAAACTCCCGTGCACCATTCTGCCTGTCTAATCTAGCTGGTTAATACTGTTGTAGACATCACCTGCGGGCAAGGTCAATGTGTTATATAAAAATCTGCTGAATCACCCTGAATGTAACTGTGAGCTGGGATATTTTCCTTGTATTACACAGGGAGGTTGGATGAATTGTAGTCTATCAAACAAAAAACCAAGTTGTTACAGTATAGGGGCCTCTCTCCTTCAGTCCTTCCTGTAGACGTATTTTGCTGCTATGTAGCTGAAAATGATCCTCATCCCATCAGTCTCCACCACTGGTGCTCCACATCTGGAATACTGTGTCCAGTTCTTGGCTTCCCAGTTCAAGAAAGACAAGGAACTGATGGAGAGAGTCCAGCGGAGGGCTACAAAGATGAACAGGGGACTGGAGCGTCGCTCTTATGAGGAAAGGCTGAGAGACCTGCTTAGCCTGGAGAAGAGAAGACTGAGAAGGGGTCTCATCAATGCTTATAAATATCTAGAGGGCGGGTGTCAAGAGGACAGGGCCAGACTCTTTTCAGTGGTGCCCAGTGACAGGACAAAGGGCAAAACTGGAACATGGAAAATTCCGTCTGAACATAAGGAAAAATTTCTTTACTTTGAGGGTGACAGAGCACTGGAAGAGGCTGCCCAGACAGGTTGTGGAGTCTCCTTCTCTGGAGATATTCAAAACCTGCCTGGACGCAACCCTGTCCAACCTGCTCTAGGTGACCCTGCTTTGGCAGGGGGGTTGGACTAGATGATCTCCAGAGGTCACTTGTAACTCCTATCATTCTGTGATTTTGTGCCTGTTAAACCAATGTATTCCATGCTTGACAGTAAAATAAGCTTAATTATCTATTTAGAGCTGGAACCAGAGAAGGACAAGGCATCAAAATGGTCACTGCTACAATGTCTAGGAGGTGCCTAGTCCCCAGATGGAACACTTTGTATCCTATACTGCACGTGAGGAGAGCCAGGCTTCACAGAATGGGGCTCCTCACTGACAGCGTGTCCTATAGCCTCTGCCTTCTGGTTCGGGCTCTTTTCTTTCTTCTTTCACTCTGTCCCCTTCTTACATTTGGGGAGGTTCTTCTCTCCAGCCTCTGAAAGCCTGCAGTGGGGCTCAGTCACCTATGCAGAGGTGTTCACGTCTTTGTGCATGTTCCAGGGCATCCGCCAGCCTCCAGCTGCTGCTCCGGAGAGCCCGGCTCTGTGGCATGTGCCATGGCATGATGGCCAGCCCTGCAGAGGTGTCACAGAGAGCCCCAGGCGTCTGTGCTAAGTGCAGCAGAAGCCCACTCTTGGTGTTGCTGTAGAAGCACAAGCTGCCCACATTTTGTTTCCTGTTAACATCCAGCTCAAAATAATTTGTTCGTATTTTATAATGAAACTGAACTCTGCATACAAATGTTTTATTTGCTTGCTTGAGAAGTGACTGCTTTCCCCTCTAGGCTTCTGGGAGTGCTGACATTTGCTGTTAGCACAGGTTTTTTTAAGAGTAAAAGAATCATTTTTTTTTAAGAGTGAAAGTTTCCAGCACTGTTGGACAGACGTGACTTATGACCCAGAATCTAGGATAATGTGGGAGATTGAAGCTTTCCCCTCATAGACATGTGCACCGAGGCATGTCTGGTAGCATTTCACAAATCCAAAGTCACTCTTAGGTAGCTTGGCTGGATTAATCATTTGTAGGCCTGGCCAGATAAACTCTAGGAGATATCCCAAGTCTGCTGATTACTTCTCCAAGGACTTGACATCCACTGGGTCAGAGGACTGACTGCAAGGTACGAAAACATGAGTTCAAGCATGAAAGTTAATCACAGTGTAGACAACTTGGGAAAACTCATCTCACTTAACTTTGTAGACGCCTACATCTACTTTAGCTGTCTAGTCTCCATTAAATAGGTCTAAATTAAGGAGGAATCCCTCATCATGCACTTGAGCAACAGCTGATATCCAAACTACTCGAAAGAGTCCTGTCTCAACTGAGACAGTTAAAAGTTTAGATGAAGCCAGTCCCTTCAGCCTTCCCTTAAGGGCAGGGGAGAGGAGTAGAAATCTTCAGAGGGTGATTTATCCCAATACTGATATTTCTTACCCTATCAGAGGTATCCATCAAGATTCCAGGCAAGTCTTCATCAACAAAGTTACTAGCCTGAATAAAAGTGAAAAGCGCGATACAATCGGTCTGTTAACTTAACAGGACTTTTGGCAATGTCAGTTCACTGAGCTTGTAAAGTATTTTGGAAAATGCTATAGAAGTGTCATTTGTACCTTGCGTGCCTGAAAACATCTGATCTGATCTCTTAAGGATGTCTAGGTTCAGATTGACCATCCGGGAGTTAAAACTAGGGGAAATGTCAAAGATATCCTAATAACTTAGGAGTAAATATTCAGCCCAGCTGCTGCTGTTGCCCAGCAGCTTGTTTCCAGGTAGCTTCTTCCTTTAAAACTTGAATTTTTTTCCTAAAAAGATAAATTTATTTTCTTAATTTGTTTTTTCAGCCAAGATACTGACTTCTTGACAAAGCATTGGAAAATGTTTTGTTTCCTCAGGCTTGGTGAACTTTTCTCTCTGTATAAAACATACCTAGTTGGCTCCCTTTCTCTCTCTCTCTCCTGCTTAGTTTGTAATCTTAGTTTGTGTCTTCTCGGCAGATTCCAAACTGTATCACTCATCTGTGGTTACTTCCTATTTTCCCCTCCACAATTCCAGCCCCTGGACCTTTCTCCTTTCTGGATGTGCTTCTCTCCCCATTGGAGACAGTCAGTATCATAGAATCATAAAATGCTTTAGGTTGGAAGGGACCTTAAAGATCATCTAGTTTCAACCCCCCTGCCATGGGCAGGGACACTTCCCACTAGACCAGGTTGCTCAAAGCCCCATCCAGCCTGGCCTTGAACACTTCCAGGGATGAGGCTTCCACAACTTCTCTGGGCAACCTGTTCCAGTGCCTTACAAACCTCCATAGTGAAAATTTTCTTCCCCAATATCTAATGTAAATCTCCCCTCTTCCAGTTTGAAGCCATTACCACTCATTCTATCACTAATGCCCTTGTAAAAAGTCACTCCCCGGCTTTCCTGTAGGCCCCCTTCAGATATTGGAAGGGCCTATAGGGTCTCCCCAGAGCCTTCCCTTCTCCAGGCTGAACAACCCCAACTCTCTCAACCTGTCTTCATAGGAGAGGTGCTCCAGCCCTCTGATCATCTTCGCGGCCCTCCTCTGGACCCGCTTTAACAGTAGCATGCCATTGAGAGGCAGGCAATATCAGGACTTCCAGAACATTTCACACCTGAAAACCTTCTCCTTTTCTACATGTTTGTCATGGCAACATTAAGCACCAGATTTGGTTACTGACATCCGCTGGAACAAAGTTTCCTTCTTTGCAGATGCTGCTCTGTCACATTAGCCCCCTCACACAGCAGTTATTGTCTGCTGTCCATATATATAAGCCCTAATATTTTTGTTTTAAAATCAATAGAAGCTGAACCTCTGTTGCTCTGTGTTCTGTCCTACAGCTGTAGAAATAAACCACCTCTGCCTTACCTGAGTCTGCAAAACAGATTGCGTGTTTCTCCCACAATGCTTTGTTCTCTAGAGATAACATATTTGTAACCTGCATGCAAAATGCTGGTAAGATCATACACAATGTTTGAAATAATTGATTTATGAAGAAAAATAATCAGTTTGGCAAGGAAAACTTTGCAGAGTTTCCAATTCACCCACAGGCCTTAATTGAAAGGGGGTAACATTGACTATATTTTGACCTTCTACAGGTGTAGAAGCAAGCAATGTACCAACCAGCTAACAGTAATCCCACTGGAATGTTCAAAGCCCATCCTGTTGCTCAGTGTGGAGAGGCAGCAGCCACACAGCTTGCATGGAGATGTGCATCGCTGCGGTAGCAGATACTAGGGATTTGGCATCCCTGCATGGGCGGGTATGCAGTGGCTTTCCTCTTGGGACAGCACAGAGGTGCCCCGTGACACAAGGTGGCAGGGTGCACCACAGCACCGCAGCCAAGCAGGCAGTTCACCTATGGTATTTTTAACTGTTAACAAATAAGTTCAGGTACTTTTCCTGTAAAGTCCAGCCTTCTGGATTTTACAGGAAAAGCAGCTTCTTCCAGCAACTGCTTGAGACCTGCTGCTTTCACTTACTAGGGAACCAAAGGAGACAAAGCACTGACAGCTGAGGTGACACAGGGAGGCTGGTGTCACAAGGCTGAGCGCTTGGGTGGCCTGGGGAATCACAGTTCAGAGCACCTGGTGAGGGTGAGGCAGGCCAGCACACATCCCACGTGCTGGTACGCTGGCTAAGTAACAAGCCGTCTCCAGCGGAGATCTTTCCAAGACCTCCTGTGACTCCCAGAGGGTTAGATAGTCACCACCAAATAGGACTGACAGTCTTGTGGAACAAGGTGCCAATGCCAACCACAACAGCTGCCACCACTGTGCACAGTGGCTCAATATTTGGAGCAGAGACCCAGGGTGAAAGCAACACAGGTCCATTCCTCCCTTCAGCCTAAGCTGACCCTGACATCAGACCTGGAAGTCTTTTGGGTGGCATATTCTTCATTGCTCACACCAGACCAAAGTCACTTTCCAAGTAACCTTAAATAGATTTTTAGGATAGAGATGATGAGCACAGCTCACTAAATGATTGGTGGACTTACCTGCACAAGGAGGGATTGATAATGAGGGAAATTTAAGCAACCATATTGCACCTTTAATGCACCTGAGATGTCCTAGCCATGAAACCTGCAGTGCTCTGTGACCCACTCCTCCCTTCCCCAATGCCACTCTGTGAATCGCCTCCACCATTGCAGACAGGCCTTGCTTGGAGGAGCTGTGGCCACCTTGGTGTCACTGGTGCTACCACATTTCCACAAGGGCTGGTGGTGCCCCATAGCACCGCTGAAGCAGCAACAGCCCCAGGATGCCCACATTTCACCCTGTGCAAAGTGGCAGCTCAGGCTCAGGCTTTGCTCTCTGGAGTTCTCTGAAGATCACATCAAACATGAGGCAGTGCCAGGGCACGGACGCTGGAAGATGCTGTCAGTGTTACTGAATTGATGGCGGCTCACTCAGGGATTATCGGTCTGTGCCTGCTGCTCTCACACAGATGGCTCCCAGACACAGTCAGCCCACGCCAGGGCCCAGCTGCAACAGACTGTTTGGATGTGGTTACACAGCTTTGGGTAATAAGAGAGTTTAATAGTGTGTATATGGCCTCGGAGCCAGGGACTGAAGCCTGGTGCTTCTTGTTTTACTAGGACAAAGACATAGCTGGCTGTTGGTGTCCAGAACTGGGGCTAGGAAGCAGCTGAGAGTCCCTCAAAATGGCAGATGAATGCACAGGAAGGAGCACAAACAAATATTGAACCTGAGTGATCATGTATTTGAGGATGTGGCTCTGCCCTCCCCGCCCTTTGAAGAGGTTCATCACATGAGGAGGTGCAAAGACTCCAATGCACTGGGAACAATGAAGTAAGGTGCCTGGAAGAAATCCCATTAAAAAGGCAGAGGAAGAAAATAATGAAATACTATAAATGCTGGTTCTTAGGCAAGACCTGGGAAGTGTGAGAAACCAAAGAGATTTGGCTTTGGTAACAACAGATGAAACTAATATTAAGTTACAAGTTTCATTCACACAATACTGTAAAACTAATGCAATATAAGTACTCACTCACCAAAATTGCTCTTGAAACAAATCTACTTCTTGAAGGGTTAGCAATTCAGTGAGTCTTTTCTTCCTTCTCTTCCATATATCTTATTCTGAAGCCTATTTTCATCCAGAAAATATCTTCTTCAACAAGTTACATTCTGACAGTACTAACACTGCATTGGTCTTTTTTCAAATGAAAAAAAAACCCTACAAATAGTTCTTGCTTCCATATGCCTTCGTTTTCATGTTTTGCCAAGGATTTGATATCAATAAAGACAAATCTGCTGTCACATTGCCAGAGTAATCAGAATGTTTTATTTCGGGTTTGGGTTTCTTTTTACCATTGGTTTTAACTACAACAATACTAATTTACTGAGCTTCCTACTTCCTTTGGTTTGGGCTTTGGGGTTATGGTTGGTTTTTTCCCCAGTATTTTGGGTCTCACTGAAGGTAGTGAGGCATTCATTTCTTAAAAATCTTCAACACAGTTTCTACGTAAATTTCATCTGGTGGGGGTTTCCTTGGGCTGCCAGGCTGCAGGAACTTCTTGATTGTAGGCATATTGCTTATTCTTGTTTTAAAAGCCTAAAAAATAAAAGCAACAAAATGAGTGAGAAATATCAGCTACTCCAGTAGCAAACAGTGCTCCTTGCACAGAACTGCTTCCCCCTGCTGCTAGAAAAGATCATAACATTCATTCAGATCTCAGTGCCACCTACAGTCTCCTGTCCAACAGGAGAAGGACCCAGCTGCTGCAAAAAGCCTGTTCTTACCTATGAAAGCAGTACTGGACCAGACAATATCTAAATCTCTGCTGCCTGAAAGAACCTGATGGCAAAAATTCAGCATCTGGGAGCATCAAGGAATAGTTTTGAAGGTACAAATACACTAACCCAGCTCATGACCTTTTTCTTTTCATTGCTGGTTCTGATGGTGCAAACTACCGTGTGAGCAAACCACAATATATGTTAACATGGTTTCCATTTTTACTACATTATGTAAATATCCAAGCCCTGTTTGCATCTAGCACAGCCACTGTTGTCCCACTGCCCCAGCATTTCTAGGATTGCGTGGGTGAAGGCGAAATGGCTGGAGGCATCCTTGGCTTAACTCAGTTGTCCAGTAGAGGCTTCTCGTACTGTGATGTAGCCTAGGGTAGCCAAAATATCTACACAGAGCTGGCAGATATAACACAGCCCCTCGGGGAGACCTATTCCCTTCTGGAGCACCGGCTGGAGGCCAGGATTAGGATTAAGGAAGAGTTGGGCATCTCAGGTGGCAAGAGATGCCTGTGTTAAGGCAACTGAGTCAAGATCCTGAGAGACCTCATTGTACAGACAGTCAGAGAGGACTCAGTGATGCAGATTGCAAGCAGCTGGAGACCTCACAGTTAGCCGAGCAATCTTAGATACACAAGAACCTCTTCTAACAACAGGGCTAAGGGAAAGGAGCTTCACAGAGCGACAGCCAGTTCATGCTCGCAAATGTATGAACATAATTTCCTCTTCCTTACAGGCACTGGAAATACAAGAAGGAGCAAGAAAGGTAAAAACTGTGAAATAAGTAACCACTAATTTCAGAAACTTTTTCCCTTCTGGCAGTGAAGGAATCCCTCCATAATTCAATGCAAGGCTTCAACAGGACTGTGCCCATGCCAAGTGGGTAAGACATCTTGCTAGAAGGTGGGAGCTAGAGGCAAGAATTACCTGAGGCTGCAAAACTGCATATGGGATAAAATCTGACACACGTTACTGCCCACTTTGTGGCTGAAGTGCCTCATGCTGTCACACTAAATTCAGGTTTAAACTGTTGGGGTTGAGCCTTAAAAATTTTAAAAAAGGTAATTTAAAAAAAAAAAAATTAAAAAAAAAAATCAAAGCTCTTTTCCTCATCAGTTGCATACAGAAAACCTAACTGTGATAGTCTGATTGATGCTGAAGCGTTTTGTTTGTTAATGGGAATAAAGCCAAAGTCTTTGAGTGCACCCTTCAAATTAACAGTTTGTTAGCACAAAGAAACATGACCCCAAGCCTTGCATCCTCAACTCAAATTTGCATTGCCTACACTGTTTTATTACCATGATTACAGGCACATGGGAGGACTACTGAACACTATCTGCTTTTTTGCGGTCACAGACTAGTTGGGTCCACTGTATCTCAATTCTTAATGACTCCTGCAGGTCATGCCCCAGGTTTGCCCGTGCACTGTGCTCTGTAGCATGCTGCATGCCTGGAAGTTTCTGGTTTCTGATCAAGTCTCACAGCAGAAGTGCCTCACTTCTGCTTGGTTTCAGACTTTGTACATAGGCAGAGAATTCATCCTCGATTGTATTGAGTTGATTATTGAAAGAAAACTGTAGTGTAATGCTAAGGCTCAAGTTTCTAGTCGTACTGTAGAAGGCAGAAGCAAAGTGAGGTTACTGGGATCCCAAAATTGCAACACCAGCCAGTACAGAAAGTGGCACACTGTATCTTATTCTAACTTGTCGACCTGTATCACAGGCTTAATTTGTTATCTGGTATTAGATAGCATCTACTGGCAGGAATCAGGAAAATTAAGAGGGCAGCCTAGATCAGTGATTCCCTTTGGATGACAATTTATTTCTATTGAGGAGGCATATACCACTCAAAAACGGATAGGTGTACCTGAACAGGGTTAATCGGGAGCACAGTGTCTTACAACAAACCAACTAAATCAATTCCCTCTTGTTCTTGATGTTAAGCAATCATACAATAGTGACAGTTCCTCGAAGAGCCCACACTCCTGATTTACATAGCGTGCAGAGATGATCACTTCAGGATTGCCGTCCAGCTCCTGAATACAGGCGTACTCAATAACAACGTTACCTGCAACTGAGGAAACCCGGACAGCACAGACGGTATTTTCTCCTCCACTGCTAAAATGGCTTCAATTAGCTGAACATCTGCCCAGCTGAATTTGTTGCCCACAAGAAAGTCTTGGCCATGTTGTTTCAAAACCTGTAGAATACAAGAGAATGGGGGCTGCGGATGATAATGGGACATACAATGCCTGGCAGGTGAGCCTCACAGCACAGCTGTAGAGCTGAACAGCAATTAAATCTGAAATGTCAGGGTGGAGTTTTCTGCTGGAAGCTGCGAACCTAAAAAATCTGAACTCTTGCAGTACACAGGCTACAAACTTTGGTCACTCAGTAATGATGAATGATGGCGTCCACTGGCAACACGGACAAACCCACACACTTATGTGGACTAGTAACAGTCATAGAATTAGAAATAGGGATAATGGAGGAACTTAAAAGTAACTTGGAGAATTTATAAAATTGCCATTTAGATATTTCATTTAAATTTATGTCTAATGTTGATACCAGGAAACAAACTTAGAAATGCAGAATTACAATAGCTAACCAAAGAAAATCCTTGCCTTTGGGAATAAGTTATTTAGTCATAAGAACATCTAGGATGTTCAGCCTTTACTATTGTTTTGCATCTAAACTAGATGAATGTTACAAAAGTGAGAAATGTTGCCAGATGCATGAGTCATTTGGGTTTGGTTTGTTGTTTTCGAAAGTGGGATGTGCAGAAATCTATGACTGTTGTTTTACTAAAGTACTCCTCATCTATCCACCTGATTTATTTGCAAGGGATTTTGGCATTCTTCTAATGAAAATGTTCCAACTGAAATTAAGTATAGCAGAGAGATGTGCTCTAAACCAATATAAGTGCAGAACTATACACTCAAGGACAAAAGAAATCATATGTGCTTGCTTTTACTTTAGTGAAAAGTTTTGCAAAAATTCTGAGAACATATTGCTTTGTTTGCTTTGTAGATGTTCAAATACCACAGCCCTGACAACACAAGCCAACAAATAAAGAAAACATACTGCTGTATTTCTCCTTCTTTGAGAGAGCCAAGAAACTTGAGGATTTGGAACTGACCTGCGCTGCAAACATGTTCTTATTTTGAGGAAACTTTTTGATAACTGTAAATACAAGTTTTATAGACACATCCTCACTGTCACTTACCTTTTCAAAGACTGGGAAGTACCTGTTAGTTGCCCTCTCCTTAATTGAGTCAATATTTTTCTCCTTTGCGTCAGGTGGAGAGAAAGGAAACATCAAAATCATTTGCATCAGATCTGTTATTCCTTCCACATACATGTCAATCCTATTGGGGGGG